GACCAGACGAACGAGGCCTACCAGTAGTGCCATCTATATGATTTTAGCCGGTACTATCGGCCACCCAAGCAGTAGTAGCGCTCTGGTGGTTTGGCAGCATAACGGTTATAAACGGGTGGGACTATAAAAGGAGGAGGTTCTTCCTCCTCCAACCTGCTATGTTTTGCCTCCCTCTCTCCTTTATTAATGCCCTAAGCTTTTTCTTGCCTGATCTCCTTCTCTAGCCAATCAAAGTTGTTGATTTGCTAGGGACTGAGGGAGGAGACCTAGAACTACAGTTCCACCCATTGGAATTTGATTCCCTTATACTTTCTCTTATGAATCTTGTTACCCTTAGGTGTTTGGCACCCTATATGGAAGATGTCACCTCATAGCCACATTCCATTTTGGTGAAGCTTTGTGGCGGTGTTGGGAGCCTCCAATTAAGTTGTGGAGATAGCCCCAACCTTATTTGTAAAGATTCCAATTGCCGCCTTCAAGGGAATCGCGATACCTTGCATTGTGTGAGGGCGTGAGGAGAATATTGTGAGCCATTGTGGCGCTTGGGGTGCATCGTGCCTCCACACCCCTTCAATGAGACGTACCTCCCCTAAAGGAGGGAACTTCGAAAACAACAACATTGCCTCCACTTGCGGTTATTTCTATCCTTTACTTACTTTGTGCAAGCTTGTGTTATTGTGTTTACTCTTTAGCTTGTACTTGTTGTTGAACTTGTCATATAGGTTGACCACCTAGTTGTATATCTAGAGAACCTACTTCCTTGTTGTATCCCTAAAACTGGAAAAGAAGTTAAAAGTTGTTAGTCACCTATCCACTCCCCCTCTCTAATTGACAATACCAATCCTTGCAACAACATACACATTGAAACCATACAAGACATCTAGAGAAGATGATGACAAGAACTTATGCACAAAGGACCCTGTAAAAGAAAAATATACCTTTTGGACATCAGATCCCCTTGTACCTTGCCGAACTGGCACCCCCTGGTCACCATCGTCGTTGTAGCGCCGCTGGAGGCAGAGCGAATCATCCTTCAAAGCCAGATCAGGAGGAGGAGCACCATCACAGACCATGCTACCTTTTGACCTGATTAAACGATCAATCACAAGTGATAAGATCAAGTCGTTGTGGCCCGTCAGCCAGGGATCTTCCCCATGTCCACCTGATCTCGACACCTCTGTCTTAACCAAATGTAGTCGAGGAACAAGAGCACCGCCTCCAACCTGTATCCGCTCACCCAACTTCAATTCATCAAATTCATCTGCAGAGGCCAACCAAACCACCGTCGAGAACAACAGACGAACTTAAGCTCGGTGGAACCGTAGACCGATGAGACGACTGCTCCCCGAGGCCACCAATTGAAGAACCGCCGAGTTGGAGGAAGAACAGTGGCAATTTATTCCGACGCGACGGTGTCCTCCCCATTGAAGCGATGCCTCCAGGAAACACTAATCCTACCTTTTTTTGTGAATGAAGAGTTTTATTAATTAAGGATAGTCCTTACAATCATCTTGGCATGCATTGCCAATCTCATTAGGTGTCTCAACCAAACAACCGTTCTAGTAGAAGATCTACCTAATTGAGCAAGGGAATGAGCAACACGGTTTTGGGTTCTGCCCACATGCAATACTAAATGCTCACGACCAGACTTCAACAATATGCAATAGTAATCCTACATTTTTTGTGTGAAACAATAGTAATCCTACCTAACTACACGGCAGATTCGAAATGTCGAGGTCCCCTCCCCCTCCCATCGGCGGAGTGGTAGAGAGAGAAGGCGGGAACCTGCAACCTCGCCAGCGGAGGGAGGGCACAGAGCTTTTCACCGACTCAAATCAGTTGGGAGCGAAACGGTTTTCACATTACTACCAAATGGTCTGATGGGAACATAATCACTAGTCTGATTCCGGTGCCTCCAAAATATTTATCTCAAAAATCGGAAGAGGAGGCAAACCAACCTGTGATTGGATAATTAGAGGGACTGTGATATCCCCAGCCCACCAGGGTTCAAATCCTGGTACTCACATTTATTCCTGGATTTATTTCAGGATTACCGCCGAGGTGCCTATGGTGACTTCGTAAATTTCAAGATGATATGTCGGCTTAATCTTTCAAACGTGCTCGTAGGGATAATGTGTGCATGTGTGCGTTCATAGAAATGAGTGCTTGTCTGTACTTTGTTAAAAAAATCGGACAAGGAGCCAGGACGGAGTGAATGCCCATCTTTAAGAGAATGATTATATCTTTCATTTGACATTATTGCAGGGGAAACTTGGACGGTAGGATTTCATATGTTCCAGACCGTCAGATTTTGCTCCGCACTTGGGAACCCAGGATATACTAAACCCAATCCAAAGCCACCCTCCGTCCTTTCTTATCCCAAACACAACACTCGTGTAGCTCTCCCCTGGTCGAAGCAGAGGCATTTCGACGAACATGTCGCTCGTCACAGCTTTTCTGGCGGGCTCAGCGGCGCCGGCGGTCGCGCCACGGTCCGCCCGCCCGTCGGTGGGCTTCTTTGGGGTCGGCGGAGGGTGCGCGCTGTCGGTGGAGTGCTCGTCGCGGCCGCAGAAGAAAGGGACCAAGCACCATATGAAGACGCGGCCCAAGAAGACGCAGCGGTGGGACATCAAGCGCCGCCCCGTTCAGTACGAGCCGCTGCCGGCGCTTCCCGATGACTGGACGCTCGTAGCCGCCGGTGCGAAGGAAGATGAGGTGCCGCAGGATGAGGAGACCACGCCCGCCGCCGCCGTTGAGGTCGAGGTGGTCGCCGCCCCTGCCGCCGCAGACTGACGCCGTGAAGTCCACCGTTGCCTCTCTGTATTTTATTTCTCCGCACGCATGGTTTTTGCTTGAGATTATTAACTGCTGCTACACTTTGCAATTACAATCCTGGATTCTACTTCAGTGACCACTGCTCCTTTAGATTTAGTAGTTGCTTTGCTCGATGATTTATGGTTTCAAGTTGTGTGCAATTCGATTTTACCTAGTGTTTCTCGGTTCGACCACGGGTTGGTGATAGGTTCAAGCTGTCAAAGCATTACAAAGGGGCAATGTGGCTACCACAAAATGCTGGTGGGTAAACTCTCTTGAAGTTTGATCATTTTGGATGACCCTAGTGCTGCCTACTCCCTAGATACATCAATTAATATGGGACGGAGGTAGTAGTATATACCATCTCCCAGATTGATTTTTGGTATGTCAGAGCTGGAGACACTGAGTATAAGAAGTACATTTGTGATCAGTGATCACATTGCTGTCAAAGCTAAAATACCTTCGCGCCTGTCTCGTGCCTACTGATGATTTGCTTCCCAGCAGTTATGTCAGAGGAATTGATCAGCCCTTGAAGGAATTTTGCTTGACAACTTACAAGAGCTATGTACAGAAAAATTATATTCATGATTTGGATGAGCATTGTGTGAAAGTGCCCAGAGGGATTGGGAGAATGAAGGCCCTGCACACACTTGGTGTTGTCAACACTGCACGGGGGAAGGCCATTCTGAAGGATCTGTGTGAGCTTAACTCAGTTGCGTAAGCTTGGAACGGAGTGACTGGCATCAACAAGAGAAACTGCAAGGAGCTCTGCTCTGATATCATCGATCATGTCCGCTTGCTGTCCTTGTCGATGTGCTCTGAGGGTGAGCCTGGGTTAGAACTTAGAAGGATGTCTAGATAAATTGTCCCCACCTCCAGATTGCCTTCATATTCATAGCCTTAAGTTGTGTATGGCTATCTGGTCAAATTGCCTACATGGATTGAATAGCTACAGATGCTAGCCAAGTTAACTCTACGGAGTACCCAAGTGAAGCATGCTGACATAGTACTTGTAGCACTGGGGAAGCTGACAAAACTTGCCATTCTACGTCTTCATAACGAGCCGTTTGAAAAGGGAGAACTCCACATCCATTATCAACCCGAGGCCTTCGCAAGGCTGACATTTCTCCAGCTTGTGAACCTATCTGGCCTCAAATCTGTCAAGTTTGAAGAAAAGGCAACGCCTAAGCTTGAACTGCTTCAGGTACACAATTATTTTGTAAGGGTTCCCAGGGATACATTTTTTCCCAAGTCTCAAGGAAGTTTCAATAACGGCGATAAGGGTGGATTGAGTGAAATTTTAAGGAAGCGTTGCGGGATCTGAGTGGCCAAGAACAGTAACAATCTCAAGATGCAGCATTTTGTTTGAAGTACCAGTCCAGACTGCTGCTTGGTCCTCTCTCGTCTCATACGATTCTTCTCCATATATTTCTCGGTCTGCATTCCTTCCAATATACTGTAGTGATTTAAACGCTCTTATATTTCTTTGCGGAGGGAGTACATATGTGTGTCTTATGCGCTTGTTTTCTACTATACATGGTAATGCAAACTCTTCAGATTGGTTAACGCATCCAATTCATCGCCCATGATGACCATTCCTTTATTTTTAATATGTGTGTCTTATGCGCTTGTTTTCTACTATACATGGTAATGCAAACTCTTCAGATTGGTTATCGCATCCAATTCATCGCCCATGATGATCATTCCTTTATTTTTAACAAAATACCGCAGTTAACTTGTGTGTCTCCATCTCTTTGGGTTCTTTTTACTGTTTTTAAGGTATATTAGCAAATTTTTGTAGCACATGGTGATGGATCATTTGGTTATTGTAGTTTCCGTACAACTGATTTTTCTCAACAAAAGCCGTATATATGTTAGGAGTACCAGTTGCAAGGAGAGATAATTCTGGACCATTTATTATTCCCACCTGATGTCAGTCATACACTAATACACAGCATATGTATATTGCATTTTCTTATGCGGGCTGAATGGTTGCTAAACTCAATTAGATATTGTCTAGGCAGAAAATCTGAAAGAAAGAGAAAAGAAAATTCAAAATTTTACAACGAGAAGAAAGTTGATATCTCAAACTGGACAGGTTCCCCTTTACTTGTACAAGGATTTCCTCACTGAGAATTGTTGTAACTGCCTATTGCCGTACGAGTATCAGTCTATGCGCCTATTGCCTAGTTCTTGGAGGGGCTGCCATTTGATGGCAGCTCCTTGTAGGAGGCCTGGTTATCATTGCCGCCAGCAAAGGAACTTCGCACCTGGTTCTGAATTCCAGACTCCTCATCCCCTACCCTACTCTGCTCGTCGCTGGCCCCCGTGACCTGCGCCGTGTCATCAGCCTCCTTGGAGCTCCTGCGTGCAACCAGAGATCTCAGTTGTGAGAAAATGGCATGTCAGATTGCAGCAGCTGCTTAACTGACAACAATAATCAGCAGCATTTACCTGTACGAGTAGACCAGAAGGCCCCCGGCCGCGCAGGCAAACGCAACGAAGTACATCCAGTCAACCTGGCAGTGAGCGAACAAACACGTGGTAAGTAGAGTTTATCGAGCTTATTGTAACAGCCACATCATCCACAGGCTTTAGCCGACAATTATTTAATCGGAAATTTGCGTCTGCAGAAAATGCAAAGGAAGAACCAGACCTTCTCATGGTAGGCGAAGATGCGGATCAGGACAGCCCACATGTCTGAGGTCAGGAGTGAGAGGTTTAGCATGGTTGCCCCGCAAATCTGCGATGGGCAAGGGAGACATATATAGATGCAAGATTGTCAGCGAACTCCAAAAATAGCCAGGAGCGCAGGATTATCTGGTAAAGCTCAACAAACCCTCTAGTACCTTCAGCACCGTAGGTACAGTCGAGTAAAACAGGAACATTGCCAATGCGAATCCGATAAAAGGGAACACCTGAAACATTACTGGAGATGAACACAATATTTTTCTTCTTTTTTGTATGGTACGTGGATGGTCATAGGTTTTTAGCATGTTGTATGTCTATGGATATTTTGAGTAATTTTTAAGTGCACCAGTGCCCAAAACGATAATGAGAGAGACTTACCGCGCCGGCATTCCATTTGATCGAATGAAGTTCTTCTCGCTCAAGAATACTTCTGTAGTAATGTCAAGGAATATACAAGTGAAGAATAGTATGTAGTGCAGTATGTGATAAATCCCTCAGATACGATGGAAAAAAAGTACTTCGAATCATGCAAATGATGAGTAAAAGGTAGGATCATTTTGATATAGTAGAAAATTATCGGAGGAGCTAGAAGATTTAAGTCCAAGGATACATTTGTATGCCACTGATAACTGCTCCAAAAATTCCCAACATGGCCATCAACTCAATTCGGTTGTTCTTCTTGACCAGATATTCCTGAAACATTAGGGAGGAAAATTTATAATTTCCTTTTAGGAAAGAGAATTGATGAATCTTCTTCATGCATTGAGAAAGGGATAATATATTTTTCAAATGCAAGTAGGGAAAACCAGAAACGTAAAATGAAGTGTTTATGGGTGCTAAGAGTTGCTAGTTTACCTCGGTAACATTACTGCAAGCATAAAGCATGGAGCCAACAATTACAAGTAAATCACCCTTCAAAGGTTTGGGCCCTTCTGCAAGAAATTGCAGAAATAGATGTTATGATTTTGAATTTTGATATAACAAGATCAACAATTTTGTAATTTCCTAATCAGGATTCGCAAAAACACTTGCGGAAATAGATATATGGAACTGTAATATAGGTTGATGAGAAGTATATCCTTACTAGCTCGATCAGAGGCATGGACGTCCGAAAATACTACTAATATAAGGCCAGCCACACAAACTCCAACACCAAAGAACTTCCTGAATCCATATTTGGTCTTCAAAAAGATCCAAGTAAGAACAATTACACATGGAATTGACCAACAATCCAGCAGCATCACACTCGTCAAAGATGTGTACTGATAAGATTTGACAACTGCATAAACAAAGAAAAAACAATTATGTTTGTTCCCCCAAACATGGTGTCGCATAAAAGCCCCATTGACATTATATTCAAGGGGGGCATATACAAGATTACATTTTCTGCTTGTGTTAACTACATACCGATATAGTTAGCCTCCACATCAATAATGCCGAGGATCAAGTAGTAGTACCATTTTGTCTGCACAAAAAGAAAGTAGAGAACTTCAAGTTATATATCATTAGAGGATTCATATGATTCTGCCACTTGTGAACACTGTGACAACTTGTGCCAACAACAACAGTGTACGCAAGAACAGAATCAGAATAAGCATAAACCTTGTCATACATATAGTGATAAAGGTTGCGACCATAGGTCCAGAGTCCAGACTATTGGGATAAGACATACCAAACTTGTATCCTACAATCATCAATCATGTAGGAGGAAAACAATGCAAACCAAACTAGTACTACTGTACCAACTAGTCAAAGAGAACAAACTAGCTAGCTAGAGGTTGGCCATGTGCTGAAAGCTACAGGTAGCACAAGAGCAGGAATCCCCAAATTCCTTACGGTTCTAAAACAGTTTAATGGCTTAGCTTTCTGATCATCTCACAGTTCATCCCGAGGCGTGCTAAGAACAGAAGAGGATGGGGGATCGTACCGTGAGTGGCTGTCTCCGGTAGAGGAGTATTCCACCGTAGACAAGAGCAAGAAGGATGTAGTTCAAGAGGGACTGCGACGTTGGTGCATTGATACCTGAAAACATGGCACTGTCAGATTGCATATCAGAATTGGCCCAACATTAAATATTACTCCCTCCGTCCCAAAATATGAGAGCATTTTTTACACTAGTGTGCTGAGACTTTGGCGCTTGCATTTTTGTTTTAGTTATTACTAGTTCACAAGAGTGCACTCTGCCTCTGAACTGAGGTGACATCGTCCAAACTGACACAGAAGATCTCAATCGGCTTATAAAGAAACTAATATATTTTCTCATGGCAGAGATGATTTGTTTATAGCCTATAAACTAAAAGGGAGAACCACGCCGCATCAGATGTTGTGTAAACTGTAAAGTCTTGGGAAAAAGCCATGGAACCCCAATATTTAATCGAGAGGCTCCAAAAATCCACTTTGCTGTCGAGTGTCGACCCAAAAGCAACGGAACTGAAGAACACGAGGTAGGCGACCAATCAATCTAGATTCCCGAACACCGCCGGAGCACCACTCGAAAAGTCAGAAAGGAACAATCTCTCCGCAAATTTACCATAATTAGAGAAGAGAAAGCGGAGGGCGATGCCTCTTGTCATCCAAGAGGGAAACCAACAGCGACAGAGTGTTAACCAAAGCACAATTAGCGACGACAGAGTATTAATCAAAGCACAATTGGTGATGACAGAGTACTGATCAAACACTCGTCGGCCGTAAGCCGTCGCCCGGCCAACGGCGACACGGGGGGAGGAAGGGGCCGCGAGTTGACGAACGCACCTCGGCGCGCGAGCTCGGAGGAGGAGAAGCCGGTGGAGGTGATGAGCAGCGAGATGAGCTGCCCCAGCGCGAGGGCCAGCAGCACCTCCCGCCGAAGCCACCTCGCGCAGCAGCCACCGCCGCCCCGCTCCTCCTCGGGCGGCGGCGCCATTCTTTACCCCTTTCGAGCTGGATCAACAGAACAGGTCGATCGCGGGCTCGCGGCAGCTCGCGCGCTCCTCGTGCGGCGCCCGCGTGGCGTGGCGTGGCGTGGGCGGCAGAGGAAACGAACAGGGCCGAGTTGAACAACAATCGTGCGTGGGTTTGGAGCTGGTACTAGCAGTACTTATGGAAGGGGGTTATCGGAGGGTTGGTGATGGAGTTGGACGTCTCGGGGTGGGGTGGGGAGTGCCGGCTGGTGGGGTGAGGCCCGTCGGATCTTCTTTGCTGTTTCTGCTCTCTATTAGACCCCGCATCCGTCCCTTACCTGTAAAATAACCGTCAAAATACGGGTACAGGCCGAAAAGCCTGCCCGATCAGACTCCGCACCCCACCCCGACCCGCATAAATTTTTAGGTGGCGCGACAAATTTCCGGCCCCAACCCGAGAAAATGCGGGTTTTCCCCTCGCGATTGCGGTGCCCTGCATCACAGAGAAGCAGTTGGCGGAAGGGACATTTCAGCCCGCGCTCTTTTTCCCCTTCCTTCCGCCGCCGCCCGCCCTTGCTTCCGCCCGCCCGCCGCCGGCGATTCCGGCCATATCTGCGGGCGGAATCGCTCCGCGGGGCCGCCCCACACCCTCCCGCGCCGAGCCGCTGCACCGCCCCTCCGGATCCGGCGAGAAGAGCCGCCCCCAGTCGCCGCCGCCGCTGGGATCGACCACCGCCGAGCGCATCACCCTCGTCGCTGCCCGGGATCACTCGCCACCGATTAGTCCCTTTTTTGTGATTTTCACGAGCTGTGTAGTAGATTGACGCGCCGGCGTGCGTGTAGATGGAGTTGACCCCGTGTGAGAAGTTCTTGCTATCCGATTCGTCCGATTCGGACGACTCGGATGTGGAGACTATGCTTGCGACCTTTCGGCAGCAAACATTGGTTATGGCGCTTGCCGTGAAGGAGCATGAAGACAAGTACCGAAAGAGGAGGCGAGGATCTACTGTCGGGCGTCTGTGCATTCCACGGAATCGCCATCTTGGAAACGGGATGTTGATGCAAGATTATTTTTCGGAGAACCCTACATATCCTGCACACCTCTTCCGCAGAAGGTATCGAATGCGCCGATTCCTTTTTGTGAAAATTGTTGAAACTTGCGAGGCAAATTGCCGGTATTTCACTCAGAGAAGGAATGCCGTGGGCTTAAAGGGTTTTAGTGCATATCAAAAAATCTCCGCAGCTATGCGAGTGATTGCATACGGCGTTTCGGCTCATTAGAGACCCAAACCGGATTAGAGCTTTTCTTCAGACATACAAGGAGATTGAAAATGCAGACACACACTTTCAACTTCAGGAAGATCTCATTGAGCACCATTGGCAAAGGGCTGGACAATGACTAATTTTTGTATTCATTTGTATTTGTATTCATGACAAGTTTTGTATTGCATTATTTTAAGTTTGCTACGGTGATTTGAATAATTATTTGTAATGCGGATGATTATTATTTCATGTTTGATTTGAATAATTAAGTTTGTTTTCGATTGTTGAATTATGTTGGATTTGAGATTTGCAGGCTGATGATTTGCGGGGATGCAGCGGCGCAAAGAGCATAACCCGCATAGCCGACCCATTAAAAAAGCATATTCCACGAATATACTTTTTTACGAATCCATTTGGGGGTCTGCATTTGTGCCAGCCCGCGCCGGCCCGCAAAAGTTGTTTTACGCGAACTGCATACGCGTTTTGCGGGCCGGCGTTTTGCGGGGTCTGCTAGAGTTGCTCCTAGCTGAGCTGTCGATCCGGGTCAATGCGTTTGGAGCGGAAGTACGGTTAGTGCATCTCAAACACCGGCCTCCAAAACGGACACTATGATCCACTTAAAAATATTCAAACCCGAGAGTACTTCTAATTTAAATATTATAATCCAACTAAGTTTTCAAATAAATAATTTAAATTTAAATTCAACTCACGCATATGCCCTGGTTATCACTTTTAACCGCCCACGGATGCTTAATCAAATTTTCATGTAGGTGCTTATGATTTGCTCGGTGTCGAATTTATTAATACATTTGAACAAACTCGTTAAAGTGACTGGATTCTGATGTGGAAGTTGGATAGGATCACCCATATTCTCAAATTCCAGACCTCTGACGGCACATTCACCCTCATCCTCCACAATCATGTTGTTCATGATCACACAATATGTGACCACCTCCCACAAGGTCTTCTTATCCCATTATTTAGCAGGTCCACGAGCAACCACAAAATGGGCTTCAAACACTCCAAATGCCCTCTCCACATCCTTTCTAGATGGTCTTGACAAAGGTAGCTCAAGGAGGATAGATACCATGAGATAGTAGTCCATGTTGTATTGATGCACATTGACAGTATAGTTGCAAGGAGGACCTTGCCCTTAGTTCACCTAACAAACAATGGAGACCGCTGCAACACATTGACGTCACTGTGACACCTGGGCATGCCAAAGAAATTGTGTCAAATCCAGAAGCTTTTTAACATGGCCCTAATATTGCCATGCCCTTGTAGAGCTTTTGGGTGCATAAAATCAAGAAATCCGAGCAAACCTGACTACCTTCTTACTTCATACATTGTCAAAAGTCTTTCGGTGTCTGCGACAATTGGTTCTCTCAAGTACTGAGATCCAAACACCTCGACCACCGCAGTAGCAAATCTGACCATGGCGTCTCCGCATGTGCTCTCAGACATCTCGAGATGTTCGTCCCACGAATCCGCGTCTATGCCATATGCAAGTATCCGCAATGCAGCTGTGCACTTCTGCTAACCATAGAATGAAATCCTTCCTATGTCATTCTTCTTTAAGATTAAGTAGTCATTGTAGGACCGGACGCCATTGTAGAGACGCCCGGAGACGGTTTTTGCATCTGAAAGCGCTGGTGAAAATTGTCCGGGCATCTAGGGTGCATTAGTCAAATGCCCTTGTGCCTTGTTCTGATTCAACACTCAATGACCCTTGATCTATCCCTTGAAATTGAGAACACGCTCTTCTGCACTCTCCTCATCTACAAGGATCACCTACATCATCATCATCATTTCATTCACATAATCCTCCTCGTCGAACGACTCAATGTAGTGCTCATACATGTACTCCATGTCTGAATCCATTACTTCAAAGAAGGGACAAAAAGACATTCACCAAACACTTGTCGGGTGTGGTGACCCTGTAGGGGTGGATGGTACCTACACGACAAAATGCTACTCTTGTGCTTTGCCCAAGACTTATTTTTAGGTACAATTTAGTTCCAACCTTCCTTTTCCTTCTCGGTTTTAGGCAAGAATTTGTCTCGCTAGTTTTTTTAACCTCAAAAGACCTCTTTATTTAATAGATAATAATGTTACATCATTCACCATGAGAGGTACAATAGAGGGGGAGGATCATCCAACCAGACCCTGGTGGCCTGGAACTTAGCCAACTAGGCTAGTTCATGAGCTACAAAAGTTGCTTCCCTATTCGCATGATTATACTCCTAACAAATTCTGGCTCCATAGAAAAACAATCATGAAAAATCGTTGCAGCAATACCTGTAGGAGGCCTCTCATTCATCATAATTTCTATTAATTCACTATTATCAGAAACTCATAACAACTTTATTACAACCCATGGATTTAGCTAAGAACAAACCATGCTTGAGAGCGAGAGCCTCAGCCGAAAGAACATCTTGAACCATATGCAACCGTGCATTACATGCGGCGATGAACTTCCCTTTTTTAATCACGAATGCCTGCACATGTAGTTCCCCTTAACATATCTGGATCGAAAGAAACATCAACGTTTATCTTAATGCAATCACTTGTAGGTGGAGCCCACCTATCCTTTCTCAACCTTGCATTAGGAACTTCAGCATACCTGAAATTTGAGGATAACACTTTGATTACCATTCCAGATCTTTCTGGGGACCGCACCTAAATATCACAGCTAATTTGCCTTCTCTGAAGGAAATATGCCCTAGAGGCAATAATAAAGTTGTTATTTATATTTCCTTATATCATGATAAATGTTTATTATTCATGCTAGAATTGTATTAACCAGAAACTCAGTACATGTGTGAATACATAGACAAACAGAATGTCACTAGTATGCCTCTACTTGACTAGCTCGTTGAATCAATGATGGTTATGTTTCCTAACCATAGACATGAGTTGTCATTTGATTAACGAGATCACATCATTAGAGAATGATGTGATTGACTTGACCCAACCGTTAGCTTAGCACGATGATCGTTTAGTTTGTTGCTATTGCTTTCTCCATAACTTATACATGTTCCTATGACTATGAGATCATGAAACTCCCGAATGTCGGACGAACACTTTGTGTGCTACCAAACGTCACAACGTAACTGGGTGATTATAAAGGTGCTCTACAGGTGTCTCCGATGGTGTTTGTTGAGTTGGCATAGATCAAGATTAGGATTTGTCACTCCGATTGTCGGAGAGGTATCTTTGGGCCCTCTCGGTAATGCACATCACTATAAGCCTTGCAAGCAATGTGACTAATAGTTAGTTACGGGATGTTGCATTACAGAACGAGTAAAGAGACTTGCCGGTAACGAGATTGAACTAGGTATTGAGATACCAACGATCGAATCTCAGGCAAGTAACATACCTATGACAAAGGGAACAACGTATGTTGTTATGCGGTTTGACCGATAAAGATCTTCGTAGAATATGTGGGAGCCAAGATGAACATCCAGGTTCCACTATTGGTTATTGACCAGAGATGAGTCTCGGTCATGTCTACATAGTTCTCGAACCCGTAGGGTCCGCACGCTTAACGTTCGATGACAATTGGTATTATGAGTTATGTGATTTGATGTACTGAAGGTTGTTCGGAGTCCTGGATGAGATCACGGACATGACAAGGAGTCTCGAAATGGTCGAGACGTAAAGATCGATATATTGGAAGGCTATATTCAGACATCGGAAAGGTTCCGAGTCATTCGGGTATTTTTCGGAGTATCGGGGAGTTACGGGAATTCACCGGGAG